GCCGGGACTATTTTATGATTTATCATTGAAGGAAACATGAGTTCAAGGTATAAAAACCATTAAAATCGCGGTCCGAAAAATTCATTTCGCGATTTTAAGCGTCGTAAAGCTTCTGTCGCACGTTTCAACACTAGTGCAAGGTTTTGAGAGATACGCTATTTCTTTTGGAAATTGATTTAACGACTCGGTGGATAACGATACTGCGGGATATGATCTTTCTTTCCCTGGAAATTGCAATGGGATTTTTTGAAATTGTCGCCTTTTCGAACTAGACAATCTTATGTCTAGTTTTTTTGCTTTTGTTTTTTTTTATCGAATCACACTTTATGAGTAGGAATGAAATTTACTCCGGAAAACTGTTAGAATTGCTCTCTAAATTTAAATTAGTAAAAATTTGTACTGCTTCAAATTAGTGGCTGACTTTTTTCTTTTAAATTAGTAAATTTTACTAATAAATAGTAATTTCTACTAATTAAAAAATTTACTAATTAAAATTTACTAATTAAAATTTACTAATTAAAATTTACTAATTCAGAAGCAAAAAGTCAGTCACTAATTCAAATTAGTAAACATTTTTACTAATTCAAATTTAGAGAGTGACAACGCGCTGATAAATTCGAAAACTTATTTTACTATAAATAGAATTGAAATTTTTAAAAAGTGACAAAAATTCTTATAAATTATTTGAAAGGTTCGAAATAAGATGTAGTGGAAAAGTATTTTTTTTTTTTTTTACTAATCATCGCAGTTCCCCTCTGAATTGCTGTACTATATCTATATATAAGTTTCGTTGGTCTTTCTGATTTTGAGAGCAAACATTACGAGAAGCAGTTGAAGATTCCCTGATGGTACATACCCAGCATTGTAGGAGAGGATCAAGAACTTCCTCGATACGATCATATTCCTCAAGAGAAAAGTTCCTTCCGAACTAAAGTTCCACATGAATCTAAAAACTTTTGAGCAAAATTTAAAATTTAAAATTGTAAATTGTAAATTTTCTAAGTGTTACATGAAAAAAGAGAATTTTTTCAAAAATTTGAACTCGTACACAAAATTAAAGTTAATTGAAAGTAAATTTACTTTTAAATAAGATCAAAGGCCGAAGTTTTTAAATTTTTTTTGAATTTAAATAATTTATTAAAATACCTCTGAAATATCCATCATAAAGTTGCTTTTGTTAAATTTACTTCTATTTAATTAATAATAAATTAATGATAAATTAATAATAAATTAATATAAATTAATAATAAAATAATAATAATAATAAATTTATCAATTTGGTACAATTCTAACTTGTTGAAATTTTGATAAATTGTAAAGTTTCAAATTCCTTTAATTGCAAACAAAGGGGCCATTCAAGTATTACGTAAGCATATTTTTCAGGTTTTTAGACCCCCCCCCCCTCCCCCATGTAAGATTTTTTATATGCATTAGCGCCATTTTTTCTAATGAAAATAAGCAATAGCTAGACCCCCCCCTCCCCCTTAAATGCTTACGTAATACTTGAATGGTCCCAAAGCTAAAAATTGGAGCGCGGTCAACTCCTTATTTACTTTTTTAATAAAAAAAAAGTTTTAATTTTAAAAAATCATAGAATTTAAAATAATGTAATTCAAATCTTTTTTTGATAAAAATAAAATATGAATTGGAATATAATTTTATTGAAGTTGTTAAAAAATACACGGAGATAAAATAAATATTCAATTTTGTAAAAGTATTTTACTATTTACCTATGCGAAAAAGATTGAATTGAAGTTCACAACGTCAAATTTTTTAAAAGACAAATTTTTTTTTTAAATTTCTAAATTAAATTATTTATACTAAAGAATAATTCTTGTTCAATAAATATTTAGAAATTCTTATTCATTTTTTCACAATACTTATAATTTTAAATAATTTTTATGTAAAAGCTTTTTAAAAATGAACTATTTCTAAAAAATTCATTACGATAACGCATTTATTATAATCAATTATAATTTGAAATTTTAACTGAAATTCCTTTTTAAATTAATTCTTATTAGAAATTTCTACAAGAATTCAATTATTTAATAAAAAAAATATTTGATTTAATAATTGATTATTTCTTAAAATTGAAATACCTAAGAAATATTTTATCAAAATTTTTGAAAATAATTAATTTGATTGGAAGATTTTTAATAAAACTTTTGAAAATAATTACATTATTATTGAGGAATTAATTTAAAATTTTATTAATAAAAATAATTTAAGTCTTGTAAAGAATTTTATTGTTTACGAAAATAATTGAATTCCTGCAACGAATTTTATGAATTTTTTATAAATAATTGAATTTCTGTGAAAAATTTTATTATTTGTAAAAATAATTAAATTCCTGCGAAGTATTTTATTGAGATTTTTTTTACTATAATTGAATTATTTTGGAACCATTTAATGAAAATTTACAAGATTAATTCAATTGTTTCGAATAATATAATTAAATTTAATAAAATTTAAATTTTATTAAACATAATTGGATTCTTTCGATGAATATTATGATTTATAAAAGTAATTGAATTTCTTAGGAATAATTTTATGAATATTGAAAATAATAATTCAATTATTTTGAATAATTTAATTAAAATTGTATTAAAAAATAATTGAATTCTTGAGATGAACTTTATTATTTATGAAAATAATTGAATTTTTGCATTAAATTAAAAATTTCTTTTCAAATAATTTAATTCTTTTGAGAAATTTTTTAAAATAGTAGATAGTAAAAATATTTTAATTTCAGCAAAAATTTTCATTATTTGTGCGAAAATAATTCAATTGTTTCAAAGCATTTTATACAAATTTTTTCAGTTGTTTCTTAGAAGAATTTTATTAAAATTTTTTAGAATAATTTTCCTATTCCTACTATTATTGGATTTAAAGTAGCTCAAATTTTCAAAGAAAAAAAAGTAGCTTTAAGTGTCACAAATTTAAAAAATGGATCCAAATAGTAACTAATTTTCTCATATTTTACGTAAAAGTAGGCATAGAGAAAAAATCTGCATAATTTCAATTTGTCAAACACTTTTCAACATAAATTTTGTTTTTTATTCAAAAGGAATGAAAAAATTTTACAATTTTTGTTACAAAGTTTAAATTTTTGGAAAAAAATTTGCCATAATTTATTTTTTCTCAATGAAAGAATAATTAATAATTACAAACAATAAATTTTTTAAATTGTATAAATACTTTTTTTAAGTAATTAATAATAAGAATTTTGAATTAATTATAAAATAGAAAATAATAATTATGATATTAAATATATAATCTTTAAAAACTTAACGAAAAACAAAAGAAAACGAAAAAGAATATCTTCAGATGAAGAAAGAAAGAATACCACGATTATTTGTTATCAATAATTAATTGTTTAAATTAAATGTTTTAATTGTTTAAATTAAATACTTTAATTATTTAAATTGTTATTTTAATTGTTTTAAATGCAAAATTTATTTTTCCGCTACACTGAAATGAGGGAAAAGGAAGAAAGGAATGTTTTCTTTGGAAAGGTAAAATACCGCGGCCAGGGGCGCACGGCAAAAAAATGAAATAACCAAAAATTTCAGATTCGGATCGCATTTATTTTTTCTTTTCATCTAGCAATTGTATAATCAGCATAAAATTACAATTTGGCGTTCAGAACGGCAACCACCCCTATAGGAATTTTCTCTTTATCCTCTTTTATTTTTTTTCTCCTTTTTTTTTTTAATGCATAGGAAGCAGGTGCGGCCCTGGTCGCATTGGATACATACATCAGGATCATACTGGTAAATAATTAATACTCTAATATATTACAAAAAAAGAAATTTTGCACGTAAAACGTTCACACAGAAAACACAGCTACCACTATAATAATGCGTAGAGTCAACTTCTATTGTAAGTAGACCCCCCCTTATTCCCCCCCTCGCTTCTTCTTTCTCTCAATAAAGTCTAATTACGTATATAATACAGTGGAGCAATATAAGAGAGAGATTCGTTCGGAGATCCACAAAATAAATAATATTATTAACATTATATTCATCTTAAAATACTGTGTTTTTTTTTAGCTACGTCCTTTCAGGTTTTTTTTTATTTTCACTTAGTGCCTACTCGTATACAATCGTTAACTAGAATAACTGTTACAATAGCGCCAAAATTTCTTTCTCACCCAAAAAAAAAAAAAAAAATTTCACTAATCACTTAAAATTAAAATATACAAAATAGTAAAATTTTCAAATAAAATATTTTATTAGAAACAGATCTGAAGAAGATTTGTTTTATATAATTTTTTTCACCGGGAACAAATTAAAGCTTAATTTTCTAAAATAAATATTTTTTTTTATACAATAAAATTCATTCCATCAGCACATTTTATAAAATGATTGATTTTTTTAATAAAATTAATTATGGCAAATTTTTTTTTGCTCTTTAAATTATTGTGATTGGATTAAAATTTTTTTCTGGGTGGTATAAAAGGCGCCAATAGGTACTAGGTAGGTACGTACATACGTATATAATTTTTAAAAAAATTTGTTTCTTTTTTTTTGCTTTTGAAAAAAATTTTTTTTTTCTTATCGTCTTATATCACTTTTAGGATGATGACGGAAAAATGTTGGTATATTTAAATGCTTTTTCAAAGAGACGGTATAATTTATTTGTGATCGAACAGCGCGTACTCGTTTTCTACCCCTCCCTTCCCCCCGTTTGTGGCAGGTACTCAGCGAATACGACAATATTTATTTTTTTTTCTATACAATAATAACAAAACTTTCGAACATGAATATATATTTATATACTTTATAACGATCGAAAGAATCACACATTTCCCACCGTTTCATCACAGACTTCTTTTTTAAATTCAAAAATTTCATTTTCTTTTTATTTTAAAAATTAATTTAAATCTATTTAAACTTTAATTTATTAATTGTTTTAAATATTTAATTGTTATTTTTAAATGTAATTCATAAAAATATGAAAAGTTGAAAATTAAAACATTAAAAATATAAAAAGTTGGAAATAAGAAAATTAAAAAAAAAGAAATTTTAATTTAAAAATAGAAATATGGAAAATTTTTATTGAAAAAATTTTGATCGTTTAAAAAAATGTCAAGAAGAAAAAGACAAGGAGAATGGGAATAAAATTTCGTAAAGATGAGAAATAAATGAAAATAAAAAGAAAGGGTGAAAAAGAGAAAAAAGAATGTATTATGAAGAATGCGGAATAAAAAGAAGAAGGTGAAACGGTGTAAACGAATTCTCGAATCGATGCGAGGACAATAAAAATAACAAAAATATAACATCAACAGCAGTCATCGTGTCGCCGCTCGAAGAGACGCACCGAGCTTTTTTTGCACTTTTATTGCATTGGAGCGAACTCAAAAAAAAAAAAAAAATTATAATAACATAAATTGTAAACTGAAGAAAAATTAATAAATTTCTACACCGACCTAGAATTATCATTTACAATATCGCTTTTCAAATCAACTTTCTCCATCCACCCAATCGTGCACTCGTCTTCTTTGAACGGGACAAACAAAAATCTAAATCTACTACGAACTAATATTAAGTTTTAATTACGTATTTTCGGTTCTTGTTTTTTTTTTGTATTTTTTTTTTTACTAATTTTATGCCCACATGCACTGTTTTTCATTCACGGAAACTTTTATGCAATGACCTTACCCCAGTCATAGTAGGATCCCCCCCCTATTTTTTTATTTTTCGCCTTTTTTACAGTTGCTTTTGTTTTTTTTGTTTTTTTGATTTTTACAAAATCTCTTCTATTTCTACACACACGATCTATAGAAAAACAGGCTACTTTGTATATAGGTACATCAGGACCTACGATGGAGCACTAATTAAGTGTACGGAAGTTGGACGTGGCTGATTGATTTAGGGTATTGGTCAAGTGAGCTACGGGAGTCCGGGGTTCGTCACTCACCGGGTGCAGCAATCCGTTCGCCGCAACCGATAAACTGACTATCGACAGTTAACACACATCGATACCTATTTGGCATTACAGAGACGGTTGATGTTGCCAGCCACTCACCTGAAACAGAAAAATAAAAATTCTTTTGTCATATTGTTATTGAACTTTAATTATTTTCAAGTTAAAATTTATTTAATTTTATTACATATTGGGAAAATGACGAAAATAATCTAAAATTTCTTGCCACTTGGGTACCTTTCTTAGGAAGTGTTTCACATTCATACTTAATAATTAATTTGAAAAAAAGTATCGAAAGGTAGCTTTAAGAACGAAAAAAGTAATAAAAATAGTAGCTAATTGAAAAATTAAATTTGATTACTAAAAAAAAACTTGTTTTAAAAGATTCACAAAAATCAATTTGATTCCGCATTTTATTTCTCTGATTTTTTTCTAATTTTCATAAAAAATAAACTGAGAAAGAGAGAGAGAGTACCTATATATTAAATTTTGTGAAAGTATTTTGCAATTTCGTGGAAAAATGTGACAAAGCGAAATTTTAATATAAAAAATACTAAACTTTAAAAAAACAGATATGTGAAATTTATAATTATATCAAATATCAAGAATATTATTGTTAAAATTTCAAATAACTTTTTTTTATACCTACTGCTAATAACGTCAATTCTAAATTTTCACAAAATGCAATAATTTTCTAAATTTCTAAATTTTAATTTAAATAAATCTTCAAAAATACGATGATATTTAAAAATAATTTTTAGAAGTAAACAAATAAAATTCTTTAAAACATAAAATTTGTTTTAATTAAATAAAAAAATTTTTTTTTTTTTAAATTTTTTAAATAATTATAAATATACTTTAATCTTTAAATTATACTCACGAAAACATTTTAATTAGATTAAAAAGATTAATAAAAAGATTATTAATAAAAAAAATTAATTAATTAATTATTAATTATATTATTAATCAAAAGATTAATTATTTAATTATTTTTTTTATTTTCCTAATTAAACTAGGTACATTCAAAACTGGAATAATTTTTTAAAAATAAATATTGAAATACTCATTTCTTTTTCGACAGAAATTCAATTTTTAAAATTTTTTAATGATAACTATGTCAAATCTTTTAGAAATTTTAACAACTTCTAAAAACTACAACTATAATATTCTTCCTAAATTTAATAATTTTTTTGTTTTTTTAAATTAAAATTATTCAAAAATATATTTTTTTCAAAAATATAAATTTAAATATTATTATCTTTTTACAACAATTAAAATTTTTAAAGATTTTATTTAAAAATCATTTAAAAGTTTATTATTTCTAAAAATTCACGCACTAATGTTTTTAGTATTCAATTATTATCTAAAATTTTAACTGAAATTCAATTTTAAATCAATTCTTATTAGAAACTTTTACGAGAATTCAATTATTTTAATAAAAAAATAATTAATTTGTTTAATAATTGAATATTTTTTAAAATTTAATTTTTATAAAAAGTTTTAGTAAAATTTTTGAAAACAATAATTGAATTCTCTCTAAGAATTTTAATAAAATTTTTGAGTATAATTGCATTTTTTAAAGAATTAAAAAAAATATTTTTTTTAATAATTGCATTTTTCAAAGAGCTAATTAAAATTGTTTTAAAAATAATTGATATCGTACGATGAGTTTTATTATTTATAAAAATAATTAAATTCTTGTGAAGAATTTTATAAAAAGTTTTTTTAAATAATTGATTCAAAATTGTATTGTTTATGAAAATAATTGAATTCCCGCGAAAAATTTTGTTATTAATGAGATAATATGTAATTGAATTCTTACAATTTTTTTTGATCAAGTTAATTAAAATTTTATTAAAAATAATTGAATTCTTATATAGAATTTTTTTATTATAACTTTTGAAAATAATTGAATTCGAAGAAATTTTATTGTAATTGCATTAAAAATAATTGAATTTCCGAGAAAACTTTTATAAAAATTCTTTTAAAAAATTCTTTTAAATAGTTGATTTTTTTAGAAGAAATATTAATGAAAATTATATTTCAAATAATTAAATTTCTGTACAAATTTTATTATTTCTGAAAATGATTGAATATTTGCGAATAAGAACTTCATTAAAATTCTTTCAAATAATTGAATTCTTTTGTGTAATTTTATGAAAATAGTAGATATTGAAAATAATGGAATTTCGAAAAATTGTTGAAAACGATTGAATTGTTTCTAAGAATTTTAACAAAATATTTGAGAATAATTTTTTTATTTCAACTCTCAGCGAATTTAAAGTTGTACGAATTCACAAAAAAAGCCTTTTTTTTCTCTTAGACATATTTTTTCGTTTTCGAATGCAAATGGCGAATTTGTGTATTAATCGGGTATATTCGTTTCAGCTCGGGAATGTTCGTCACGATTCAATACAATGGCGCCTCTGGTGCTTTAGTAACCCTAACCTCCATAACCACCAATTTTTCTCCGATACAGTTTAATCACATTTAGCAAAAAAAGAAAAAAAAATATAAAAATCGTAAAAAATAATAAAATTTTTAAAGCAAATTATAATTTACGTAAATAATAGTGTATAACAACGTCGTTTGTTCGTTTGAAGGGAAGAGGAGAATCAAGGGTCATCCGCGTGGGCCGTTAAAGATGGAAGAGTATAGAAATAGAAACTAGCGCCCAAGAAGAAAGCATAAATTGCTACTTGGATAATGTACGTGAATCTTCATTGCTTTGTAGTGAATAGAGTTGGACAAAAAATGTATACACATAGAGATAGATAAACGTAAATAAAAAGTATACAAGGCTGTTGAAATAGACTCTTTTTCTCTCTTTTTCTCTTTCTCTCTCTCTCTTTGTAAAAATGGGCCGAGTTTGCCAAGAGTTCGCGAAATCTTCTCTCGAGGATACAGGACAAACAACTTCTTAGCATTTCTTTCTAAGGATGAATAATGGCAATTCTACTTCTCGAGCGGATATTTGGTCTCGGTCCGTTTGCCCCGCCATCTCAGCACAACAATTTTTCATCAGTAAATTTTGCACTGTAAACTTGGAAATATTGCGAAAAATTTGAGGCAATAGTGCGCATTTATTTCGCCACTCAAATTTTTTTGCAAAAAAGGCCTAAAAAATACTAAAAACCAAAAGAAGTAGGAAATAGAGTCAAAAAAGAAGAAGGAGAAGAAAGAGAAGTAAAAGAAGAAGAAGAAGAAGAAGAAGAAGAAGAAGAAGAAAAAAAGAGTAGGAGAAAAGATAATGAAGAAAAAGGAGAAAAAAGAAAAAGATGACAACAATTAAAAAAAAAGTGAAAAAGAAGAAAAAAACCAAAAGAAGAAGAAAAAAGGGTCAAAAAAAGAAGAAGGAGATGAAGGAGAAGAAAAAGAAGAATTAGAAGAAGAAGAAGAAAAGAGGAGGAGGAAAGAAAAAAAAGGAAAAGGAGGAAAAAGAAAAAAATTATTACAATCAAAAAAAGTGAAGAAGAAAAGAAGTAGTAAAGGAGACAAATGATGAAGGGAATATAGAAGGGTGACTCGGATGAAATTGGAAATAACGGAACATTCCTCTTTCTCTTTCCCTCTCCTCAGATTCCGAATTTCCAGGCTACTATTCTCATTCTCCTACTCCGGTGAACTATCAGTACGTATTTCTGGTTATACGAACACAATGAAAACATGGCCCAACGTGTATGTTCTGGACAGGCACCATGTGCATTTATCCTATTAGAAGAATAAGAAGAAGCTGAACCAGCATTTGGCAAACTCAACTTGCTTCTCAAGCTTTTCGCAAAAATTCCATTCCGAAACTTTTCCTCTAAATTCTGCACTCGATATTGATGTTTGCAAAATTTGTATATCAAATATTCGCTCAAAAGAAAAAGAAGATCAACTGATGACTAACTTTTTCTAACAACTGCTTCTTTCTATAAACTTACTCGCGATGGAAACGATAACTAGTTTCTAAGTCGTCAATAAAAATTTCACAATCAAAAAGCAATTCTGAATTAATAGTCATCAGCCAAAAATATAATTGCCACAAAAATTTAATTGTTTTTTCCTTTTGACTTTTTTCTTAACCCTAAAGAATGTACTGATTCACTCTAAAAATAATTAGATACTCAAAAAAAATTTTATTTACAAATTTCCTTAATTGAAAAATTGTTTAAAAACACCAATAACTTTATTTTTAAATAAATATTTAATCATTATTATTTTTCCATAGAAATTATGATTTTCAAAAATTTCAAATTTAAACCTTTTGAAATTCACTTACTGATAAAAATAATTAATTAAGGAAGATATCGACTATAAAAATATTGAAAAAAAAAGATAAAAATAAAATAAAAGATGAAAATATTATTGTAAAACATGAAGAAATTATTGTAAAACATGAACACTCATGAACAGAGTGATCGATTTCTTTCATGTTTTTCTTTTTTTTCTTTTTTTTTCTTTTTAAAATTAGTCTCATATAGAATTTTTAATTAAAGGTATGAAAAATTCAGATTTTCAAAGATTTCAATTTCAAACTTTTACAAAATTCAATTATTATCTAAAACTTTAACTGAAATTAATTTTTAAAACAATTTTTATTTGAAAATTGAATTATTACGAAGAATTTTATAAAAATGTTTCAAACAATTTATTTTTTTCTATAAAAAGATCATGCAAATTAAAATTGTATTAAAAAAGAATTGAAATCATGAAATGAGTTTTATTGTTTACGAAAATAATTTAAATTTTCCTAAAAATTTTATTGAAATTTCTCTAAAATAATTTTATTATTTATAAAGACACTTGAAATTTTGACAAGAATTTTTTTTTAATTTTTAAGCATAATTGAATTTCTACGAAAAATGTTATTTACTTATGAAAATAGTTTAATTCTTCCAAAATTCAAGTTAATAATAATAATTAAATTTTGGTAAAGAATTGTATTAATTTTGAAAATAATTGAATTCTTGTGATGAATTGTATTATTTGAGAAAATAATTGAATTTTGCAACAAATTTTATAAAAATTCCTAAATATAATTGAATTTTGGAAAAGCATTTTGCGATTTATAAAGATAATTAAAATGTTGACGACTATTTTTTTTACATTTTTTTTTT